TATTACTAATATATATATATATATATATATATATATATATATATATAAATATTTATATAAATATTATACATTTACATAAATATTTGAATAACATTTACGTTCTGAAGTGAATAGCACTACACCAACACAAGATAAAATTTAATTCGCCAATTCTTGTCATGCACTATTCTTTTATTATTTTCTTAGGAAGATACAAGAGATAAAATAATTCCATTTAGTTTACTATATATATAAATATTCCTGATGCAATGATGATCTATAATTTGTGGTATCATAAACATTTTTTGCCTCATTAAGCTCGGGATCGCGCACCATTATAACTGGAGTAGTCGAAATATCAAATACACCGACATATTTCGCTTCAGAATGCAGATTGTAAAACTCCTTGAGTAATTCGGCTGTCGACTTAAGACGAAAAATTGTTGGTCCCATATTTCCCAGTATAGGAAGAGGTGGCATGTGTATTATGTCATGTTTTTTAAAGTAATTCAAATCTTTGAAAAAATAATAATAAAGACCTAGAGTAGCATCAATGAAGCAATTATGTGTATCATGTTAATATCACTGTTATTCCCTTTAACCAAGATGTATCATATAATTTTGTGGAACGTAAAACCAACTTTTGCACTTTTTGGCAATTAACTTGAAAAGTTTTACTTATTGTATAAAGGTACGATGTCACGTAATAGTAGCGCTGTAATAACTGATAATTGACTGTTGATGTCCTAAAATGAGCACCTTATACTATCCGATTCGTCCGATTAATTTATCTAAGTAGAAATATTTTTAGACAAATATATCTTGTTCATATTTGTTTAATTTTATTGAAAATTGCATTTATATTTCAGAGTAGTGTTACTATTTGTTCTTAATTATTTATAGAGATGATATATATTTGTTAAAAGAAAAGATTTTCACTTTTTTCTCAATATATATGATATTATCATAGTTTGAATATGCATATTTATTAATAGAGCATTTGTTTATAAGTAGTCATTAATTTAATAATTTATTATTCAATAATTATAAATATATAAATGCCTGCACAATATTTTGATATTCAGATATCAATATAAATATTTATATATACTGTGCTGGCGTTTATAAGTAGTTTTTATAAATATTTAAATACTAAATTATTAAATTCACGATTGGTTTTGAACAAATGCTGTAAAAATTATTTATGATTAAAATACTTCGTAAACGAGTATACAGCTTTATTCTGTTAATATCATTTACATCATCACAAAATTAAAATTTTTTATTATCAATCACGTGCCACTATTTTTAGCGGCCTTACAACGTAGCAATTTTGTAGTAATTTTAATATCTTGATATCAATTAAATATCCGCAGTTCTTCAATTTGTAGCAACATAAACATTTCCTTGCCCGAAATTCATAACAAAATGTGCGGCTTCATTACAATTTCGTTGTTTCCTTCTCTCTCTCTCTCTCT